CTGTGCTGACAACTTGACATTCTCTCTCTCCCTCTCTCTCTGCTCCTCCCCAGCTTGTGCATGCACGAACTCTCTCTCTCCCTCCCTCTCTCTCATAAGTAAACTTTAAAAAGTTTTTACAAAGGACTCACTTTTCATCAATTATCCTAGATTTTCTCCGGTTAATGATACATTTTCTAAACATTTTCTAGTCAGCACTCCTCTACACACTAATAAGTTGCTCTATTTGGATGATGGAAATAACTTCCAAACATCCCTGACCTCATCTTGGCCTGGGGGGTTGCCTGACTGGCCTATGTATGCCTTGACAGTGTAAATCTTCATTACTCTTCACAGGCCCACCACCCTACTACCTCTGTCCCTAAATTTCATGAGATTCCCAAGGAAGGGAGGGAGGGAGGAAGGAAGGAAGGAAAGATGGAGGTAGGGAAGGAAGGAAGGAAGGAAGGGGCCTGAGATTAAAACTTTATCCTCCCTTCCTGTTTCACTTAGCTCTTGCTACATAACAAATCATCTCAAAAGTTAGTGAGTTAAAGCAATAATTTTTACTGTTTCTCAAGATTTTGAGCATTGTAGAGGTGGGAACTGCATGAATGCTCATCTGGTACCTCACCTGGGGCTGGAGGGTCCAAGATGGTTTAACACATCCCTGGCAGTCCGTGCTGTCAGCTCAAACATTGCTTCTCTTCCATGTGGCCTCTCCTCCTCCATTAGGCTAGACTGGGCTTCCTCACAATGTGTGGTCTTAGATTTCCAAAACAAAGTGGAATCTGTAATGCATTTTTTAAAATTATTGAAGTATGGTTGACATACAATGTTCCATTAGCTTCAGGTGTACAGTGTATTCATTAGACAATTCTATACATTACTCATGCCTCTGGAGTCACAGTGTCATTTCAGCTGCCTTCTATTTATCAACTAAGTCTCAGTCCCAACAAGAGGGAAAACAGATTCTGCATTAGTGAAGGGCAGTGAAGGACAATGTCACATTGCAAAGTGCAAAAACTTCCAAGCAATCTACGCAATTACAAACCTCTGGATACTGGGCCACCTAGATCCCTGCCTAAGGAATCAGTGACCTTTCCTCATTTCTAAGACAAATTTGTCCTTCTGGTTCCATGCTTTCTACCAGCTCAGGGGCTCTATTTTCTCTTCTGTAATATTAGCCTTTCTCTTGTTACTAGTTCTTTCTCTACATCATTTATCCATATCCAGATGCCTCCCATAATAAATTTAAATTCACTTCAAACCCTTAATGGTTTGCCTGCAAAAAAGAAGCCCACGCATATTGATATGGCCCATATCCCTCATTTTTAGCAAACTTCTTGAAATGACGTCTATTCTACACTCATAGCTCCCATACTTTATATTCTTCCTTCTTTGGCTTTTGTGATACGACTGTTTCCCGATTATCTCTGTCCTTCTCTGGAGACTGCTACTAGTTTTCTTCCTCTGCTCATTAAAATCTTAAGTGCAATTTTTTCCTTCAGCTCTCTTCTCACTCTGTACTCTCTAAAGGTGATAGTATTTACTCTAAGCACCTGAACAATGCTCATAGCATGCTCATATGTGTTCCATGTAGTTTCTGAGGTGGTCCCGAGCAAGACTGAGCCCAGAAGCCTACAGAAGTAACCCATTATCAATGCACTCTATTGGCCTTTCTTCCTTCCCTCTATCATTTTCCCTATCAACACATTTGTTATGCTTGGAATTGCCTCCCCCAAATCTACCTGCACCAAAGTCCCCGTCAAGGGTCTGCTTTTGGGGAAACCCAAACTAAGACAGCTTGTAGTCTGTTTGTAGAATTGGTTCTCCCTTCCTCTCCACTTCCTAAATTCAGATCCCCCTTTCTCATTTGGGTCGAGAAACCCCTACCTTCGCTCTCTGAGTCCAATTTGCACCTTTTCCCAAAAATGCATTCATGGCACTGCCAGCAAACAAGCTTCATAAAGCAGTTAATCATATCACACCCCTCTTTAAAAGCATTAATGGGTCCCAACTCTCCCCTTCATATAATAAATCTAAAATTCTTAAACCAGATTATCAGAACATTCATGATCTGGACTCTGCTTAGCTTGACAGGCTCAACTTCTACTCCAGCTACTCTGAGCTATTTGAACTTATCAAAGGAGCTGTTTCTCCTTGCTTCTACGACCTTGCTGAAGTTGCACCAAGTTCTGACCTGTTCATTATAATAATCCAATTCTGGTTTTGCTTACCCCCTAAGTTTTAAACAACCTAAAAATCATTGTGTTTTATCCATTTCATATCCCCAGGGCCTGATGTAAATGTTGGGCCTGTAGAATGTTCTTAATAAACATTGATCAATCTATCTATCCTCAACTTTGATACTTTCCAAATAGTAGGCTTACTACTTTTCTTCAAATTGTTTTAACTCTAAAACTAATTTAATCAATCATGTTATAAAAAGCTTTGAAAATATTGGAGATGGAACACTAACCATAACTTCCTTAATGTAATTTGGCTTTTGATGAACTCCCTTTTAATCTATATATATTTTTTAAAGTTTATTTACTTATTTATTTTGAGAGAGAGAATGCAAGTGAGGAAGGCATGGAGAGAGAGGGAGAGAGAGAATCCCAAGCTGGACCTGCACTGTCAGCACAGAGCCCAGCACTGGGATCGAACCCACAAACTGTGAGATCATTACCTGAGGCAAAATCAGCAGTCAGATGCTTGATTGACTGAGCTACCAGACACCCCTAATCTATGTTTTACATAGACTGAGTAGTTCTGTCAGCCAAAAAAGACATAATCATATAATAATAATAAAATAACAAAACAACCAGCATTTAAATATTGTATACCAAAAATTAAATTTTATATACATTAACTCATTTAGTTTTTGTGATGATCCTGTGAGGTCACTACTTTATTATTTCCATTTTACAGATGAAGAAACTAAGGCACAGAGGGTAAATGATTTGTCCTAAATCATATAACCAGGGAAATGATAAAACCATGATTTGAATTTGTGAAGTCTGGCTCCAAAGTTCATGCTATATTTAACAGAGAGGATTAAGTTATTTAGTATATGGAAAGCACTTAGAACAATAGCTGGTGTAAGGTATAAATTTAATAAATGCTAGCTATAATTATCATTGCTATTATGATGAATACATTGAATATAATTTCGTATCTTTCACTTTGAATTGTCATAGGTTTTCGCTAAATTGGATAGAGTTTTACTTTGAATTGGATCATAATACTTTAATACTACCATGCAGTCTTATTAACTATTGCTTTTTATGACTGCAATGTTCTATAGAATGTCTCCACAATAATTAGTTCTTGCTGTTGACCATGCTTCTTTTAATCTTTTATATATATAACACTATGAGCATTATTTTTATGCATTACCCTTTTTTCCCTTAATTTAGGCCATTTTTTAAGGATAGATTTCCAGAAATAAGAATTATGCATTAAAAGGTTTAAACATCTTTATGGTTATTTATGCATATAAAAATGGCTTTACAAAGGCATTACATCATAACTATGTTTTAGGGAGCCTGTTCAACAATTCAGTATTTGCAATTGTTATAAAACATTTCTATTAATACTAATTACCCAAAGGATTTACAAAATAAATCCCATCCCTTTCAATATGACAGAGTTTCAAATATTTATATATTTTTTAAAATATAAACTCCCTAAGTACCTTCATTTAGTTGGTAGAACCTCTCAACTCTGCTTCGGATATTTTTTTTGTATGGTAAACATCCCAACTTTCCTTCAAGTATCTCTGGTCTGACAAAATTACCAAGCTCTTACCCATCTGAGTCATAGTCTCCTAAATACATTCCATTGTGCCTATGTCCCTCTTAATTTGGAGATTACAGACATGGTCTGACAATGCAGAGCTCAGAGGGGTGATCACTCTCCTTGACCAGGGCATCTATTTCTAGCAATGCAGTCTAAGGTCACATTAGCATTTTTTGGTACTGAAATACACTGTTGGCTCATGCTTACTTGCTATCAACAAATCCCCCACGTCTTTTTTACATGAAATCCTATCAAATTACATTGCCCACATCCTGTACTGATGTAGTTAAGTAAAGTTATTTACATAGGTTTTTATTAAACTTTATCTAGTTTGTTAAGTTTCTTGTTCCAGAATGTTGTGACACTTCTGATTGTCCAAATAGGTATATTGATTTCCTTGATGCGCACCTTTATGCTTTTTGTATCCTTACAAAAGTCATAAATAAAGATATACACTAAGACAATCCCACGCACAGTCTTATGTACATAATTAAAGTCCTTTGGTTTGCAGTAATCAGCATCTTTGTGTATAACTTTTCTGCCAGCAGTGAATCAGCAGCTGTGAATCCACCCAAGTACCTTAACACTCAAACGCATTCATTCATCCTATTTCTGAAGATATCATAGGAGATCTTGTTAAATGGCTTCCTAGGACTAAAATAAATCATGATTACATTTTTTCATTAATTATTAGTAAAGTTATTTTATAATTCTGTCTAAGAAAACAGTAAGTGATTTTAACCTGGGTCTCATAACTATCCTTATTTGCTAAGTGCTTACAAATTAGTACATACTAATATTAAATCTTATGATAATCAGATATTTATATTTGCTAATGTCTCTATGAAATTATCAGTGCTTCATAGGAAACAGTCACTTATGCTTCCATGTGTATTTTGTAAACTGATATAGCAGCAGACTTAACTAACAATTATTATTTCAGTCCCCAAATAAAAAATGTAATAAATTGATATAACACAATAATTAAAATATTCTAAGATTTCTCTTCTATGAATTTTTTTATTTTTAATTCAAATCAATCTTCAATTTGGAGAAGAAACTCAGCTTATTTTCAATAACATTACATTACCTACAGAGGGTAACGATCTATCTAATTATGTCTATGAGAACTACTATCATTGCCTTTGAACTAGTCATGAAATAAATAAAATATTTCTCTTTGTTCAAAAATGTTAATTGAGTTATTTAACTTCCAGGGTACTTGTTGGTTCTCCTTTAGCTGGTCAACCCAAAAACAGAACTGGAGATGTCTATAAGTGTCCAGTTAGGAGAAACGAATCAACAAATTGCATAAAGTTGGATCTACCAGGTATGTAAAGTCAAAATGTTAAAGTCCAATCTTAAATTATACTCAGTGTTCTCATTAAAAATATTTTTAACTCAAGAAAATATGAGAAGAATCTATAAATGATCTTTAGTTCTTATCAAAGTCACATAAAATGACATTTTGATTCTATCTGCCCTACATTTGGTTTAGAAATTCATGATAAGATATCCATACATTTAGAAATAAAAGAACCTCACTGATTACATTGCTTTCACAAAATTTAGCTTTTTTTTTTTTTTTTTTTTTTTAAAGAAAATAGCAGGGACGTCTGGGTAGCTCAGTCGGTTAAATGTTCGACTTCGGCTCAGGTCATGATCTCCCGGTTCGTGGGTTCGAGCCCCGAATCAGGCTATGTGCTGACAGCTCAGAGCCTGGAGTATGCTTCAGATTCTGTGTCTCCCTCTCTCTTCCCCTCTCCCACCCACTCTCTGTCCTCTCTCTCTCTCAAAAATAAACATTAAATTTTTTTTAAAAAAGAAAGGAAAATAGCAGAGGAGGAATTGTAATACACAAATTCTTTTAAAGAGGATACCACAAGGAAATTTATGTAGAAATGGATATATTTGAAAGAAATATCACTATAATTAGAACATACTAGAATATTCCTACTAGAATTATCCAAGACTTAGAATTCAATCAGTGTTCTATACAGTATTAAATATATATTTTTTTAAAAAACATACTTTCAAGGTTTATTTCAAATATTCTATTTTCAGGTCTCTTTTTTTCAAGTTCCTATTTATTGTGAAAATTTTTCCTTTACATTTTTGAACATAGTTATAATAGCTGCTTTAATATCCTTGCCTGATAATTACAACATCTGGAATATCTCAACATCACTTTTCATTTATTACCTTTCTCTTGGGATTGAGTCACATTTTCCTTTTTTTTCCCCTTATGTTTAGTATTTTCGGATTGTATCCTGGATTATACTTTTGAGTTTTAAGTGTAGAGATTCTAGATCTGTTACTTGCCTTTGAATAGTCTTAATTTTTTGTTTTAGCAGACAATTTACTTGGCTGAACTCAATTTCCAGACTGAAATGGAAAGCAAAGCAGTTAAAATCTCTATTCATTTCCTCTAATTGTAGCTGAGCTGTTTGAAGTTTACTGTGCATATATACATTTCAAGTGCTTCAGATATTTGGACAGAACCTACGTGTGTATGTTAGAACTCTCTTTTTGTGGCTCTACTTTTCAAGATATACTCCTTCCCTTTGCAGCTGCTGTCATTACCCCAATTTCTGTCCTCTGTTCATTCAAAACAGTAAGACTTTGACAACCACTTTAGATGTAGCCATGGCTAGGGCCTTCTCTTGGGGGAAAACAAGCACATAAATGGAACTCACCCAGTGCTAAACTCTTCTTACAAGTATAGACTTTCTCTCTACCTTTGGTTGCTTTCTAGTGCCTTCAGATGGTTGTTTATTTTTTTTTCCTTTTCCTAGAGTTATTTGCAAAAGACTTGTTCTAATAGGAGCTACTCTATTCCTTCACTACCAAAAACTGTAACAGAGTTTTAACATTAGCATGGAGATTTTAGCTGCATCAACAGCAGTGGATGCTATAGTCTCTAATATCCCAAGAATGCTCATCTTGGATCAACTCTAGTATAAAAAACTCAATCCAGATTATTCAAGACCAGTGTAGATAATAGTCCAGTTCTGGGTGCTTTCAAGGCAAACCGGACTAAACTCTGGAACAAACACCAATACTCACTTTAGGAAGACAGTGTGACCATTCAGGAATCTCTGCTTCCATTCCTCACTTTAAATCTGCATGGTCTTAAGGAAGGAAAAATTTAGAGGCATGAAGAGTAAGTTAAATCTTTCTTGAACTTGAGTTTTGCCACTTTCAAATATTTCAGCACTCTGCTAAACAGAGTTTAGAAAACTTGTATTTCCCCATCCAATCTTTTTTCTTTTTTCTTTCTTTTTTTTTCAATATGAATAAGTGGAACTTCTTGCCACTTTTGTCAAGTTGGCCTGCTTCAAGACCCAACATTCCCATCTGGAATGTCAAAGGCATCCCTTCATTGTGTTTCTTTTATCCAAACTTCCTGACCACGACTCCTTCTTGCTCTAGTTTTCTTTGTAAACTTCATGATGTCCCCATGATGGTGAAATCGATGTTCAAAATTTATATTGGTGGGTTTTTTTCTGCTCTCCTACCCATTTTCCCTCTTCTTATCAGAAATTATGCTAGATCATTGGCCATCTATAACATACAGATATAACACACAAGGTAAGTGTGTAAGTTTACTTTATGTATCTACAATATTATAAGATTAAGTATTCTATTTGTTTTAATTAGCAAAAATGTGTGAAAGGCTGTCCCACATTTTCTCATTGCCCCAATAGCTCTGCATTCTTTTACAGTTCAGCAAAAGTATTTCAGACAGTTATCCAGACAACATTTCTGGGACATGAGCCAGGTTTTCAGCCGTAGATTTTTCATTATATTACTTAATAATACTTTGAAGACTATTTAGTTGAATCAAAAGAAGAATGTGCTATGATACAAGGAAAGCAAATAGAATGTCTTAACGAGAAGGAAGGCACTTAATTTTACTTTGCTTTCCGCCCTCATAAAAGTTTGTTTCTATTTTTAGTTAATACGTCAATTCCTAATGTCACGGAAGTAAAGGAGAACATGACATTTGGATCAACTTTAGTCACCAACCCAAATGGAGGGTTTCTGGTAAGAAAGCAAAGAGTTAGTTAACGAGCCAAGAATGCTGTCATTTTAAGTTTCTATAAAATCTGTTATGTAAATTTTAATCTTATGGTTTTTAATTTTTTAAAAGGCATGTGGGCCCTTGTATGCCTATAGATGTGGACATTTGCATTACACAACTGGAATCTGTTCTGATGTCAGCTCCACATTTCAAGTCGTGAACTCCATTGCTCCTGTACAAGGTACAGATTTTATGCAATGTTCTTACATGTTTGAAAAGTGTAAGCAATGAATGAGACATATATATACACAGGAGCATACCAAAAAGCTTGAAGTATTTTCTCAGCTACTAGCATTACCAATTTAGGTAAATGTTTGCTTTGCCAATATATAACTAAACCCCACTGCTATTTTTGGATTTGAAATTAGTGTAAATAACCTTTAAGAAAGTCTTGTTTAAACATCATAGCTAAAGCTGTCACATTGTTTTTATTTAAAGAATGAGTCTCTTTGAAGAAAGTAATCTCATTTGAAATATACACAGAATGAGAACAGTTACATAAAATTCATACTGAGAAAATCTCTAAAGATAATTCATACAATTTTAATTACAATTCAGTAGAGATGTGTTTTACTTGATAAGAATCCCAAACCAATTGCTACTGAATGCAGTGATATTTATCAACTTTATTTTTGTAAAGCCACTTTTTGTGATTATAAAAGCAATGTGTCCACCATGTAGACTACCAGCTTATCTTTTAAAATGAGCCTATTTCAGCCATGAAAACACTTCATACACTTCAATACTATCTAAAAAGATAAACTCCAAATTTGCACAATTGACTCTTTTTATTGCAGAATGCAGCACTCAACTGGATATAGTCATAGTGCTGGACGGCTCCAACAGTATTTATCCCTGGGAGAGTGTTACAGCTTTTTTAAATGACCTTCTTAAAAGAATGGATATTGGTCCTAAACAGACACAGGTATGTGACTATGTATTTTGATTTCTGTTGCTCTAAAGATAAAAATGCATATATTTTTAATAAAACAAACTATTCTGAACAAAAGTTAATCAGCAAAGCTAATATTCAGGATGAATTTTATATTCTGTATCACTGTTTTTTCTCCTAATGAAAAGGACATACTGGCAGTCCCTGTTATTTTCTAAACAGAACATATTATGAAAGCTGCCATTTCTGATGCTCTTTAAAAACATTCCTTATAAATCATAATTGAATTCTTACTTATAAAGTAAGTGTAGCCACCTTCAGTAATATCCTAACAAGACTTCAGAATTTGTGGAAACTAATCTGACATCCCAAATAATGCATCACATAATCCCCTCTCTTATATCATACAAGTAAATTAGTAAGTGATACAGAATATCACTTAAAGACCATTTTTACTCATATTTAATAATTTCTTAAGCAAAATACAAATGCTCCATACTTTAGCTACAGTTACTTCAGATTGTTTGGTTTTGTTTTGTTTTTAATTTCTCCCCATGAGTATCTATTTCTAAACACATCTCCTTTATTGCCATTAAATGAAGTGAAATTTCTCACATAGTTCTCCCACTTTAGACACTGAGTTTGGGTTTAATAAATCTAATGCTGATTAAACTTAACGGCCATATGGCTTAAAATACAAAGAACACAATGGTTAAAAGGCAAATTAAATGTCGGAATGAGATTTGTGCCTTAAGAGCAAGAGTTAGCAATGGAGTCAGAGTCAAATGGTTGTTCTGTGCAGAACACAGAAGACTTTAGGTCTGCACCTGCAGACCAGTGTCTTTCCTTTTCTCTCCAAAGCTCTACTTTTGGAGAAATTTCTGAGGCACTGAAAAAGTGGTCTGACTGCATTTATGTTTGCCATGCCCACACCTGGTACAGGACATGAATACACACACAAATATATGATATATTTTTATATGTTTCTGTATATGTATACTTAAATTGTAAATATATATATATATGTATATACACATATATATGTATATATATATATATACACACACACACATACAAAATGCATTTTCCCAAAAGGATGATAGTTAAAAATTACAAAGTAGATGCAAACCTCAAAGTGAAATGTCATATGGCTGTGTTCCGAGGCTGAATAGGTGAGAGCTAGGTGAGGGGTAAGGGTGTATATATCCTTCTGGACAGTAAAGAACATCTTGAAACCAGTATAAATTTATTTGAAAAATAATGGACATTTATGCATCACAAAAGGATAGAAGTTTCTCATTGCAATTAGTCTCCCCAAGTGAACTACCAGAAATTTGGTATCTCTTCTTGATACAGAGCATAAGGCAGCCTGCATCCTTTAAAAGACCATTCTAGGGGTGCCTGAGTGGCTCAGTTGGTTAGGCGTTTGACTCTTGGTTTCAGCTGAGGTCATGATGTCATGACTTTGTGGGTTCAAGCTCCCCATCAGACTCTGCACTGGCAGTGCAGAACCTGCTTGGTATTCCCTTTCTCTACTGTCTCTCTGCCCCTTGCGTACTTGCACTCTCTCTGTCTCTCTCAAAATAAACAAATAAACTTAAAAAAAAATAAAAGGCCATTCTAGAATTCTGACTTGCTTCTCCATCTGGTACATGTTTCACATGGACTCTTTTTTTCCCCCTGAAGTCTGAGGACCTCTCCCTTCCTCCTTGGCTCTCTTCCCTAATCCTCTCTCCTTGGTAAATACGATTTCACAGAGCCACAAATTAAAGCTGGATGAAATTATAGAGGTCTGTTAGCCCCAAATCTCAACTTATGGAGAAGGTAGGAGAGGCTGAGTAACGTGTTAAGTAAGGTAAGTTGCTTGTTTGTTGATAACAGGTCAGAAAACCAACCCCCGTAAGGATTAGTAAGAGGAAGAGGGAAGAATTAACTATAAATCAACTTTGATGTTTTGTCTCCTTGAGTTTTTTTTTTTAATCTAGGTTGAACCATATGAAATTGTTGCTATTTGATCATTTTTGACCTGCAAATACAGCAATTCCGTGTGGTGCAACCTCCATTAAAATATAGTTGACCCGGGGTGCCTGGGTGGCTCAGTCAGTTGAGTATCCAGCTTCGGTTCAGGTGATGATCTCACGGCTCATTGATTTCAGGCCCAGCTTCAGGCTCTGTGGTGCAAGCACAGAGCCTAGAGCTTGCTTTGGATTCTGGGTCTCCATCTCCCTCTGCCCCTCCCCTGCTCTCTCTCTCCTTCTCTCTCAAAAATAAATAAACATTTAAAACAAATTTACAAAAAATAGAGTTGACTCTAGGACAATGTAAAGGTTAAGGGCGCTGACTCACTGCATAGTCATAAATCTGCATATAACTTTTGACTCCCCACAACTTAACTACTAATGGCCTACTGTTGACTGGAAGCCTGACCAATAACATAAGCAGTAGATTAATACATGTTATGTACATTATATGTGTTATATGCTGTACTCTACAATAAAGTAAGCTAGAGAAAAGAAAGTGTTATTAAGAAAATCATAAGGAAGGAGCACCTGGGTGACTCAGTCAGTTAAGCTTTTGACTCCTGATTTTTGGCTCAGGTCACGCTCTTATGATTTGGGAGATCTAACCATGTTGTGCTTTCCACTGACAGCATGGAGCCTGCTTGGGATCCTCTCTCTCTACTCCTCCCCCACTCACACTCTTGTTCTCTCTCACTCTCTTTCTGTCTCAAAAATAAGTAAACCTTAAAAAAAGAAAATCATTAAGAAAGAGAGAATACATTTACAGTACTATTCTATATTTACCCCAAAAATTCATGTATAAGTGGACCCACACTGTTCAAACCCATGTTGTTCAAGGATCAATTATATAGGTCTTTTTAAAAAATGTTTTTAACGTTTTATTTCTGAGAGAGACAGACAGACAGACAGCGTGAGCACGGTAGGGTCAGAGAGAGAGGGAGATACAGAATCTAAAACAGGCTCCAGGCTCTGAGCCCGACACGGGGCTCGAACCCACAAAGCGTGAGATCATGACCTGAGCCGAAGTCGGATGCTTAACCAACTGAGCCACCCAGGTGTCCCAGGTCTTTTCTTTTTTTTAACAGATATTTTAAAACTGAGAATAAGACATTTATCTTTCTAATCAGGAGAATGGAAGAACTTCACCCTAAATAAGTTTTAAAGGGATCATGAACAAAAAAAAAAGTCACATTCTGACTATACCTCATGAATTCTTGTTTATTATATTGATTATGGCTGTACACTTATTACAACAGGTAAAGATAAAATATGGCGGCCTATTTTCTGTACTCATAGGTTTGCCATTTAGTAATTGCATGTATTGAAAGATAGTTGAAAAGATATGAAAGTAATTGTCAACGCCACAAAAGAAAAAAAAAAACAAAGAAAGGAAGGGAAGAAAGAAGGAAAACAAAAAGCTTCCGTTAACGTTTCCACATGACAATTAGTATACATTAGGGGAGTGCAGCACAAGTGACCAAAACATCAACTCCAAATAGTTACTCCAAGTTTCTTACAGGTTTCCGTGTGGTCCCATTAATACTTTTGGAAACATAGTGAAGGAATTTTTGTAAATCAGTTTTTTACCCAAGACAGAGTAAAGGCTATAAAATTGCCTTTTAAAAAACCACCTATAAAAACAAACCTGAAACACTCTGAGCTTGCCATAAAAGATATGATGGTATAAACATTATGAAGGTCTTATCGATCCTCAATACCTAAGCATAACACTGCTTTTAATAATAAATGAGAATGATATAAATATGCCAAATACGAGTGCATTACCCTAAATAAAACCAGTAAATTGTGAGGCTTGATATAAAAGTGAAATATACTAATGGAACAATGTCTAGATTGTTGCTATCAAGAGCATAGCATAACATTAAACCAGGCAAAATGAAAGAGAGAAATTAATTAAATTTTAGGAATATTATTTATCTTTCTTTTTACTGCACATTTTATGGCCATTTCCCTAGAAGTCATAAACATGAGTTCTGAAGTCTGAATAGAAGCCTGAAGGCACCTTGCAGCCCTTCCCTTGTCAATCAGGCTATAGTTTCTGACAGCGGTGCTGTGAATGAGGTCAATCTTCTCTATCACTTGCCACCCAATCTCCATTCTCCCCTTCCTCCATCCCCCACTCACTGGAGCTATCTTTCCAAGGTAAAATTCAGACCATAGCCTTTCCCTTGGATAAAATTCTCCTATCTTTGCCTGCTGAGTACTATCCAAGCTCCCCAGTGGATTGGAAAGCATCTGTCACCTGGCACCCCTCGTCCCCACTGCCGCCTGCCTCCCTGGTGCCTTCTTGCCTTTCTTCTGGCTCTGCAATGGCTCCTCCCCTCGCTTTCTCTGAGCACATAGTCAGTGTCCACAGAGTCCCCCTGCCCAGAGTGCCCTTCTCTATCCAGGCCCTCGGTGCTAGGTGAACTTTATGATAGGTGATTCAGTTCCAATGTCACTGTCTCTGTCACGTTCCATGGTCATTCCACCCCTTTTCCCATAAACAATTCCTTCCCCTCCTTTGTCCCCATACATTCTACTCACCCTTCACTTACAGCTGTCATCATTCAGTAGCACTGTTTTTTACTTCTGTGTCTGTCTCTCCTGGCAGACTGTGAATTCCACTTTGACAACATTGTGCCTTAATCCTTTTATTTATGGGATACAGTTTACAGTTTTATGTGTTGCTGAGCACATAGGAGGTAAATCATTTGGGTTGGAAAAATCTCATTGCTGGGGCTTTTCATTTCTCCTTGTGTTACAAATCATTGTTGTGATGACCTGTTTCTCTCAGTCTCCTTCACAAAGTCACTGAGCTAAAAGTGCTTCTTTGTGGGGGACCCCCCCCAGATGCCCTTTATATTAGGTTTCAGGCTTTTCTTTGCAGGTGTTACTGCCTCAGCCCCATTCATCTCTCATCCTGATTACTGCCACAGTCTTCTCAGAACTTTACTTTTACTCTCCTATCCTTGCATTTTTGAACTTGGATCAATTTCATTGCAGCAGCAT